GCCAGAGCAGCCTGAGTCAACTTCAAAGTCCCAGAAGGAAGGGACTTAAAAAGGAAGCATTGGAGACAGAGAAAATATGCACGAGAAAATCCATGCACCTTGTAGTATTGGTCTGACCCTTCTCTGTTAGAGATCTGTGAAGGGTCAGACCAATACTGGAGAACAGCATGTACCATGATGTCTCCTCACTCTCTACACATCTACTGTCCTTTGTGACCTTTGGTCTTTGGGGAAAGTACGTCTGTCTTCTCTATGAGGACAGTGTGACATAGCTGGACACGTTTTTGAGCCTAACAGACCATAAGTTAGTTAACCACTTTTCAAGTAGAGCTGATCATTTGCATTAGATATTTTCTCTAATTCTTTGTTCTTCAGTTATAAAATGGGAACCAAATTAGGTGGAGGATTCCTGTTCCATGCCTACCTCATAGAAGGCTCCAGAGAAAAGTCTGCTGTTTAATTCCCGGTATCGATGTCATCATTACTAGAGATTCCTAACACCCTTCCCAATGTCTGGTGCCTACTGGTATTCAGAAGGTGTTTAATGAATGAACAATTTGTACTTTTATACATACACATGATCATGTACATATAATTTAATTGAAATATATATATATATATATATATATATATATATATATATATATATATATGGAAAGTGCTAAAATAAGTGTTAGCTACTAGTAGATCACAGCTATTATAATAAAGTGAATTCATGATTCCACTTCCAGTGAGGATATAAAGAGTTCTTCTTACATCTTCATTTATATTAATATATAGTTGACCAAAAATTATGCACTCAATTATATATTTATTTCATAATGTGTTATTACATGGTGTATAATGATGTTTTGATATATGTGTACATTGTGAAATGGTTCAATTAAGTTAATAATTTCACCAATTCACTTGTTTTTTGTTCTCAGAACATTTATCATCCACTCTCAGCAATTTCTAAATGTACATTAACTCTAATAATTATGATATACAATATATCTCTGGGACTTATTCATTCTAACAGAAATTAGAAATTCCCCATACCTTCAACCCCTATGCTCTGGAGACCAACATTCTATTCTGTGCTTCCATGAGTTGGCCTTTTTCATGTTACACATGTGCACTGTCTATGCCTGGCTTACCTCATTTAGCATAATAACCTCCAGGTTCATCCACCTTGTCACAAATGACAGGATTTATTTCCTTTTAAAGACTGAATATTATTCCATTGGATATACAACATTTTAAAAATCCATTCATCTGTTACAGACAGGATGTTTCAGTGTCTTGGCTATTGTGAATAATGTTGCAATGAACGTGGGAGTGCAGACTTCTCTTCAGCATACTGATTTAATTGCCTTTGGATATATACCCAGAAGGGCCATTGCTGGAGCCAGGGTGTAAACAATTATCTGTCATATGGTCAAACAGCATTTTCTAATATTGGTTATTTTTGATATTTTATATTTATTAGTTTTTTTTTCATCATCAAAACTCAATTTAATGCAAAAGGGTGAACTGGCAGTATATGTCAAATGTTTTAAAAACATGCATGCATTACTAGATATTTCCATTTCTAAGTATTAATCCTAAATAATTATGCACCAAATTGGGCTATATGGATGCTTATGATGGTTTATTTATAAAAATATTAGTTACAAAGGAAAAAAAGAGCTGGGGATATGGCCCAGAGGTAGAGGTCCAATACCCAGCATCTCAAAATAACAACAAGAACCTGACTGCTACAAAAAGGTTGGTACAATAAATTATGAAAATTAATAAAATAGAATGATATGCATCTATTTAAAACATTTTCATTTTTATTAGCACATTGTAATTATACATAATAGTGGAGTTCATTCTGATACAATCATACACGACTGGAATGCAATTTGCTCCATTTCAGTCGCAGATACTTTCTCTTTCCCTCCCCTCTTCCCTGGCTCTATTCCCTTCCTCTGCTCTGCTGATCTTCCTTCTATGTATTTATTGTTTTTTAAATTGGTGCTTTATAGGTACACATAAAGATGGAATTCATCATGGTACAATCATATATGTACAGATCATAAATTTGGTCAATTTATTGTGCATCCTCCCTTTTACAGTCCCTCCTCCTTCCCTTCAATCCTCCTCTTCTACTACATTGGTCTCCCTTCTATTTGCATGGGGCCCCTGCCTTTTCCCCCTTATTTTGCTCTAGATTCAGCATATGAGAGAAAACATTTGCCCTTGATTTTCTGAGTCTCGTTTACTTCACAAATGCCATGATTTCATTCCTCTTTATGGCTGAGTAGAATTCCATTATATATATTATATTTTCTTTATCCTTTCATCTGCTGATGGGCACCTAGACTGGTTCCATTACTCTGGTATTTTGCACTGCACTGATATATACTTTGGTATGCATGGATCACTATAGTATGCTAATTTTAAAGCACTTTAACATTGAATATTTAATGATATAGAAGTCAAAAAATGTATTAATTACATTATGATCTCTTTTTTAAAAAGCTGATGATTGTGGAGGGGGCATGCATATATGTCTATGTATGTATGTATATGTGGGGATTGATACAGGTTCCTAGGTCATACACAAAAATATCAGTAATAGTGTTTATTTCTGGATTGTTCATTTACATGCAATTTTTGTTATTTTCTTTTTGCTTTTCTAAGTTTTCCACATGAGTCTATATTACTTTTGAAGTATGGAAAATTATTAAAAAGAAAGAAACAATGAAGTGAATTAAAATCTTGAAAACAGGGAGGGGGCACGGGGCTAGGAATGATGGTGAAATGAGTTAGAAATCATTACCCTAAGTATATGTACATAGACATGAGCAGTGTGAAATATTTTGTGTACAATGACTTGAAAAATAGTGCTCTATAAATGTAATATGAAATAAATTCTATTCTGCCATCATGTTTACCAAATTAGAATAATAATTTAGTTAAAATAATAAATATTTGTTATACAAGTTAAAAAAAACAAATAAAATCTTGAATACATAAAGACAGTCTTTGACAAAAAAAGAGAGAAATCTTTTTAGCTTGTTTACAAAGTAAAAGATCCAATACACAGACATGTTCCATAGCTTCCTGGACACTCCCTGAATTCACATGTGTTTTTGCCACAAACTCATGTGAAATCTGAAAAATTACTTTAGCTATTAGCACCCACCCACCCATACAGATGAAGAAATAGGGAAAATTGGCCTAAAATATGTAGAAAAAATTTCTTCCTTTATTTAAACAGAACAGAATTAAATTTATCCTGACAGTCTTAATAAAACTTCAAAAGTGATTTAAATGTTTACAAAAGAAGAACTCTAAAAAGATTCAAAAATATAATATTTTGTCTAAGAGATATTTTAAAATATTATGCAAGAATTTGGCTTCACCTGAATAGACCAATATAATTGTACAAGGTATTTTCCAAATGTTATAATAATTGTGGTTCTGTAAAAGCTAACCATTTACCCTGACCATTTTAATAACAATTATAGTTGGATACGGTGGCTCTCCCCTGTAATCCCAATGACTGGGGGCATGGGGGGTTATGGCAGGAGGATCCCAAGTTCAAAGTCAGACTCAGCATTTAGTGAGGCTCTAAGCAATTTAAAAAGACCCTGTCTCAAAATAAAATTTAAAAATGGCTGGGTATGAGGCTCAGTGGTTAATCACCCCTGGGTTTAATTCCCAGTACCAAAATCATAATAACAACATCATTCATTACAAATAAATACCTTCTAGTCTTATTTCTTTTTAACCTCTTCACTGAGCAAACATTCCCTGAAGAAACTGGATCCTTCTAAAATTAATTTTCACTAACAATCACTAAAAGGCCAAAACAGTATAAGGAAGACCTAAATGAGAAATAAGCAGGTTTGTATGGCTCCCATAGAATAGAATTTAAGAAACACTTATATCACAATAAATGTGACTTCAACTGCTTATCAGACTCACAGTCACCCCCCAATGTATCATGTTATCATGTCATCAACTTAAGTCTTCATATCTTCTACCACCATATACAATTGTCTGGACTTTCTTATTTCTCTCCTGGCATCAAGGGATCTATCACAGCATTTTCATTTATCAGTCACTCATATGAGAAACTTGAGTTCAGGATCTCATTAGCTCCTGCCTGCATTATTTTAATAGGCTCCTAATTTTCCTCCTCATCGCATCTATTATCACTTAAATTCAAAAGCATCATCCTGCCAGGATGCTCAAATATCACTTTAATCCTACTACAACTCAGTTCAAGAATCCTAGCTTGAATTTTATCCTATGAGCAGTGGAAAGCAAACTATAATGGCATTCAAAGGCTTTTTCTAATCTTCTGCTTTTGCTCCACATGAACTCTGTGGAATCAGGATGATCCTCCCACCTCACTTTCTTGTCAATGCAAATTCATCCTCCCAGCATACTCAACTGAAATGCAAATACAATTTTCAGTAACCAGTACAATTGTAAATGAACTCTTTTCCTTTATAATTTCTACAACCCTCACATATTTTTTGACCCATGGACAGGGCAGCAAGTCATACCGTCTCCTACTGACAAATAATTATAATTATTTTTATTAACTTGAGGTAATTTTTGTGGACCCTTTATTGTTGTACTTCTCACTGTTCCTAACAGCTAGAAACTGGTAAATGCACAATTAATATTTTGTGAAAAATGAAGTATCTGCATGTTTAGGTTTTATACAAAACCAAGTGTTTGGTGTGTGTGTATATGTGTGTAAGCGATGAGAATTTTCTATATATCTCCAAGACTTTTCTTTAACAAACAAATATTGTTTCACATTAGTTCATGCAGGGGGGTTCCCAAGATCATCCCTGGGTTTGGAGATTCCTCAGGAGAACTCACAGGACTCAGTATATAGTTGTTTTATGGCTATGATTTATTACAGCAACAGGATACTAAGCAGACTCAGGCACAATTTCTTTTTTTTTTTTTTTTTTGTTTCAAATATTTATTTTAGGTCATAAAAGCTTTTATTGTTTTGAACCCTGATTACAAGTCACATGACCAAGAACAATTAAAAAAGGAGATTCAGGATCATGCAAAAAGAAGTACAGCACCTTACAAATACCCAAGAAAGGTAGGCATCTTATTTATGATGAATATTTGTTCAGTGTTATGGAATTTTTTTCAACTGTTTATTTTCTCCTTTTTAATGAACACGCTCCTCAAACATGCTACATAAAGTGTTTCAAATTGAACTAATGATGTGTAAATAAGAATCTGAATTTTTAAAATTAAACTCTTAACTTGGCTCAGTGAACTTGCAGTAAATACTAAATATCAAGAAAAAAATCTCCTTAACAATACCCCCTTCCCTATTTGGTTACCCAAAACCCACAACAGGTGTCCTAATCTTTTCATCTAGAATTCATAATAGAATTAATACATAAATGGCTTTATCTAAAGATGAAAACTTTTAGACTAATTTTCTTCTTCTTGATATTTAACAGGTAGAATTTATTCAAGAGCTGCCAAAGACTATTAGTGGGAAGATAAAAAGAAATGAACAGAAGAAAAAAGAATGGAAAACAATTTAAATTCATCCCATTATCATAGTACATATGAAATAAACACAGAGGCTGAATTTGAAATAAAAAAATTCAATAGATTCCTATGCACCAGTGTCAATGTTCCTATAATTTGGCATCACAAAATAAATGTCATCAGTTGCTCAGGAATTTTTATTTTGATACTTCTTTTTTGTAGTACTAGGGATCAAACCCAGGGCCTAGCACATGCCAGGTACATGTTCAATAACTGATCTATATCCCCAGATCACAGCATTCTTAAATGTTTGATATAGAAGCAGTTTCTATCAATCAATCAAATCTCTGCCACATTGGATTTTAATCCTTAGTTAAATAATTCCAATATGTGAATATACAAATTGGAATAATTAAGCCTTGAATAAGACTAAACAACTTATAATTTTTCAGAAAATAAAAAAATATCAATCTGAAGATTATCATAATTATCAAGTATCTACCTAAAAATAGAGTAGGAAATTTTATTAGTCACATTTTTATTCAAATAATTTAAAAATAGCTTATAATTTATTTCAAGGTCTAACTAGAAAAATGAACATCATGTACTATTATTGCTTATTTAACCTAATGAATACAGTTTATAAAATATTTTGTCATTCTTCAAGGAGGCATGAAAATTCAGCAAACATTATTATATGAAATATAAATAAAATGTGTAAGATAGTACCAGAATATTCATATTTGGGAATTTAAGGAGTAATTAGGATTCATACCTGAACACAGAAGGCAATTGTTAAGCAAATGGTGAGTGAAAGTGGAAGGCATGAAATATATTTTCTTTCTGTGTATGTGTGCTTGTGTGTGTGCACGTGTGTGTGTATCTGCTACAATACAGTCTACAGAATTCAGATATGCTAAGACTCCATAACTCATAGCCCTATACTTTTTTATCTTTCCTGCACTAAAAGTCACATAAAAGTTATCCTAAAAGTAAAAACTGTTTAACTGTATAGAAAATTTATCAATTCCTCATTGAAGGTCTGAGTCTCAAAGAATTTTTAGTAGGAAGACAATTACTGTCACTAATATGGCTTGTTACAAGAGAACTAAAAGTGAGTCTTCCTGAGGAATGAGAGAGAAGCGTGTTGTTGGCTTTTTCCTTTTGAAGTGTTTGTTCCCATTTAAAATAATCACAACACTTTCTGTTTTCTTGATATTTGCCAATAGGGCAACAATAGAAGACTCTACCATGGTTTGGTCCATTGTTAGAAACAACAAGTCTACAGATTGCAGAATCACATCGGTTATACATCCACATTTTTACATAATGCCCTATTAGTAACTGTTGTATTCTGCTACCTTTCCTATCCTCTACTATCCCCCCTCCCTCCCCTCCCATCTTCTCTCTCTACCCCATCTACTGTAATTCATTTCTCTCCTTGTTTATTTTCCCATTCTCCTCACAACCTCTTATATGTAATTTTGCATAACAATGAGGGTCTCCCTCCATTACCATGCAATTTCCTTTTTCTCTCCCTTTCCATCCCACCTCATGTATCTGTTTAATGTGAATCTTTTCTTCCTGCTCTTCCTCCCTGCTCTGTTCTTAGTTGCTCTCATTATATCAAAGAAGACATTTGGCATTTGATTTTTAGGGATTGGCTAGTTTCACTAAGCATAATCTGCTCTAGTGCCATCCATTTCCCTGCAAATTCTATGATTTTGTCATTTTTTAGTGCTGTGTAATACTCCAGGGTGTATAAATGCCACCTTTTTTTTATCCATTCATCTATTGAAGGGCATCTGGGTTGGTTCCACAGTCTAGCAATTGTGAATTGTGCTGCTATGAACATCGATGTAGAAGTATCCCTGTAGTATGCTCTTTTAAGATCTTCAGGGAATAGTCCAAGAAGGGCAATAGCTGGGTCAAATGGTGGTTCCATTCTCAGCTTTCCCAGGAATCTCCATACTGCTTTCCAGATTGGCCGCACCAGTTTGCAGTCCCACCAGCAATGTACAAGAGTACCCTTTTCCCCACATCCTCTCCAGCACTTGTTGTTGTTTGACTTCATAATGGCTGCCAATCTTACTGGAGTGAGATGGTATCTCAGGGTGGTTTTGATTTGCATTTCTCTGACTGCTAGAGATGGTGAGCATTTTTTCATGTACTTGTTGATTGATTGTATATGTCCTCCTCTGAGAAGTGTCTGTTCAGGTCTTTGGCCCATTTGTTGATTGGGTTATTTGTTTTCTTCTTGTTTAATTTTTTGAGTTCTTTGTATACTCTGGATATTAGGGCTCTATCTGAAGTGTGAGGAGTAAAAATTTGTTCCCATGATGTAGGCTCCCTGTTTACCTCTCTTATTGTTTCTTTTGCTGAGAGAAAACTTTTCAGTTTAAGTAAGTCCCATTTGTTGATTCCTGTTATCAACTTTTGTGCTATGGGTGTCCTATTAAGGAATTTGGAGCCCTACCCTACAATATGTAGATCGGAGCCAACTTTTTCTTCTATCAGACGCAGAGTCTCTGATTTGATATCTAGCTCCTTGATCCACTTTGAGTTAACTTTTGTGCATGGCGAGAGGAGGGGATTCAGTTTCATTTTGTTGCATATGGATTTCCAGTTTTCCCAGCACCATTTGTTGAAGATGCTATCCTCCCTCCATTGCATGCTTTTAGCCCCTTTATCAAATATAAGATAGTTGTAGCTTTGTGGATTAGTCTCTGTGTCCTCTATTCTGTACCATTGGTCCACCCGCCTGTTTTGGTACCAGTACCATGCTGTTTTTGTTACTATTGCTCTGTAGTATAGAGCAATAGTAGAGTTGTTTTTGCTATTCTGGGTCTTTTATTTTTCCATATGAATTTCATGATTGCTTTATCCATTTCTACAAGAAATGCCGTTGGGATTTTGATTGGCATTGCATTAAACCTATAGAGAACTTTTGGTAATATCGCCATTTTGATGATGTTAGTTCTGCCTATCCATGAACAGGGTATATTTTTCCATCTTCTAAGATCTTCTTCTACTTCTCTTTTTAGGGTTTTGTAGTTTTCATTATATAAATCTTTCACCTCTTTTGTTAGGTTGATTCCCAAATATTTTATTTTTTTTGAGGATATTGTGAATGGAGTGTTTTTCCTCATTTCCGTTTCAAAAGTTTAGTCACTGATATACAGAAATGCCTTTGATTTATGCGTGTTGATTTTATATCCTGCCACTTTGCTGAATTCATTTATTAGTTCTAGTAGTTTTTTTGTAGACCCTTTTGGGTCTTCTAGGTATAGAATCATGTCATCTGCAAATAGTGATAATTTAAGTTCTTCCTTTCCTATTTTTATGCCTTTAATTTCTTTCGTCTGTCTAATTGCTCTGGCCAGTGTTTCGAGAACTATATTGAATAGAAGTGGTGATAGAGGGCATCCCTGTCTTGTTCCAGATTTTAGGGGGAATGCCTTCAATTTTTCTCCATTGAGAATGATGCTAGCCTGAGGCTTAGCATAGATAGCTTTTACAATGTCGAGGTAAGTTCCTGTTATCCCTAGTTTTTCTAATGTTTTGAACATAAACGGATGCTGTACTTTGTTGAATGCTTTTTCTACATCTATTGAGATGATCATATGGTTCTTATTTTTAAGTCTATTGATGTGGTGAATAACATTTATTGATTTCCGTATATTGAACCAGCCTTGCATCCCAGGGATGAATCCTACTTGATCATGGTCCACGATTTTTTTGATGTGCCTTTGTATCCGATTCACCAGAATTTTATTGAGGATTTTTGCATCTATGTTCATCAGAGATATTGGTCTGTAGTTTTCTTTCTTTGAGGTGTCTTTGTCTGGTTTCGGAATCAGTGTGATGTTGGCCTCATAGAATGCATTTGGCAGAGCTCCTTCTTTTTCTATTTCCTGAAATACCTTGAAAAGTATTGGTATTAATTCTTCCTTAAAGGTTTTGTAAAACTCTGCTGTATACCCATACGGTCCTGGGCTTTTCTTGGTTGGAAGACTTTTGATTGCTTCTTCTATTTCATCTATTGTTATTGGTCTGTTTAAGTTGTGAGTATCCTCCTGACTCAGTCTGGGCAAATCATATGACTTAAGGAATTTATCGATGTCTTCACTATCTTCTATTTTATTGGAATATAGGTTTTCAAAATAATTTCTAATTGTCTTCTGTATTTCTGTAGCGTCTGTTGTGATATTGCCTTTTTCATCCCGTATGTTAGTAATTTGAGTTCTCTCTCTTCTTCTCTTCGTTAGCATGGCTAAGGGTCTGTCGATCTTATTTATTTTTTCAAAGAACCAACTTTTAGTTTTGTTAATTTTTTCAATAGTTTCTTTTGTTTCAATTTCGTTGATTTCCGCTCAGATTTTAATTATTTCTTGCCTTCTGCTACATTTGCTTTTGTTTTGCTCTTCCTTTTCTAGGGCTTTGAGATGAAGTGTGAGCTCATTTATTTGTTGGTTTTTCCTTTTTTTGAGGAATGACCTCCAAGCGATGAATTTCCCACTTTAAACTGCTTTCATTGTCTCCCATAGATTCTGATATGTTGTGTCCGTATTTTCATTTATCTCTAAGAATTTTTTGATTTCCTCCTTTATGTCTTCTGTAACCCATTGATCATTCAGTAACATATTGTTCATTTTCCATGTGATGTAGGATTTTTCCTTCCTTCTTTTATCATTGATTTCCAGTTTCATTCCATTATGATCAGATAAAATTCATGGTATTATCTCCACCCCTGTATATTTACTGAGGGTTGCCCTATGGCATAATATATGGTCTATTTTTGAGAAGGATCCATGTGCTGCTGAGAAAAAAGTACATCCACTTGATGATGGTTGATATATTCTATATATGTCAGTTAAGTCTAGGTTGGTGATTGTGATATTGAGTTCTATAGTTTCTTTATTCAGCTTTTGTTTGGAGGATCTGTCCAATGGTGAGAGAGGTGTGTTGAAGTCACCCATAATTATTGTGTTGTGGTCTATTTGATTCTTGAACTTGAGGAGAATTTGTTTTATGAATGTCGCAGCACCATTATTTGGTGCATAAATATTGATAATTGTTATGTCTTGTTGGTGAATGGTTCCTTTTAACAGTATATAATGTCCTTCCTTATCCCTTTTGATTAATTTAGTCTTGAAATCGATTTTATTCGATATGAGGATGGCCACCCCTGCTT